ATCCCGCGCGCGCTGTCCGACTCCCACAAAACCAATGGTTTTTCAACATTTATGTTACATGAGCTCGCGCGAGCTACTTTTTCTTGTTCTAACATAATCAAATTTCAATACTCCCTTGCAAAAAAAAGTAAAGTGGACATTCGCGCGCGCAAGACCAACAAAAAACACGACGATCTTAGGAACTTGCCCCAAAAATGTGACCAACTCCGCTCTCTCTGTCTCTCTCTCTGTCTGCTCTCTGTCTCTCTCTCTGTCTGTCTGTGTCATGCATTGTATGTCACAATTGCAGGATGCTGGGCACACGCGCGCCCCGAATAAGTGACCAAGTTCTGTGGGTGTGTACCCCACGCCAGTGTAGTAGCCACGGTCGTCCGCACGCCACGAAGTGAAGTGTCCCAACGTCATAGGGCGGGAAGCTGGGTTTGGGTGGTCGCGAAGAGTCGTTTGGATATTTGGTAGAGCTTGAACTGCCCCCCCACGAAGTGGGGGTATTGTCTCGCGTCGCATGAAAACCCTGGCACTGGTGAGAACACTGAGCGTTCGGGTAAAATGATTGTTGTTGTTGTTGTTGTTGTTGTTGTTGTTGTTGTTGTTGGTTGTTGTTGTTGAACATTATTACTTCTAAAGAATAATTATTGTTGGGGCCCCCTGGTGCACGACCCCCCTCCAAAACCTAGGCCGCAGCCTCATTTCCTTCATTTTCTAGCGAAAGCTTCAGAAAAGTGGATTAGTACCGGATCCGGTTTTTTGTTGACGCTCGTTTTCCCTTGCAAAAAACACTATAAAATGAAAATTCTTGTTCTTTGATCAAATTTCAAGAATCCCTTGCAAAAAATAAGGTAAAGTGGACATTCGTGCGCGCAAGACGAAATCCTTCCAAAACCTTGGGTTCTCCTAGCGGTTTTCAACATTTATGTTACATGCAGCTAAAACATAATCAAATCAATAATCCCTTGCAAAAAATAAGGTAAAGTGGACGTTCGCGCGCAAGACGAAATCCTTCCAAAACCTTAGGTTTCGTAGCGATTTTAACATAAAAACATCAAAAACCCAATGGTTTTTTAAGAAAAAAATGTCAAAATGTCCTTCCGCGCGCGCTGTCCGAATCCCACAAAACCAATGGTTTTTTCAACATTTATGTTACATGAGCTCGCGCGAGCTACTTTTTCTTGTTCTAACATAATCAAATTTCAATAATCCCTTGCAAAAAATAAGGTAAAGTGGACATTCGCGCGCGCAAGACCAACAAAAAACACGACGATCTCAGGAACTTGCCCCAAAAATGTGACCAACTCCGCTCTCTCTCTGTCTCTCTCTCTGTCTGCTCTCTGTCTCTCTCTCTGTCTGTCTGTGTCATGTATTGTATGTCACAATTGCAGGATGCTGGGCACACGCGCGCCCCGAATAAGTGACCAAGTTCTGTGGGTGTGTACCCACGCCAGTGTAGTAGCCACGGTCGTCCGCGCGCCACGAAGTGAAGTGTCCCAACGTCATAGGGCGGGAAGCTGGGTGTGGGTGGTCCCGAAGAGTCGTGTGGATATTTGGTAGAGCTTGAACTGCCCCCCCACGAAGTGGGGGTATTGGCTGGCGTCGCATGAAAACCCTGGCACTGGTGAGAACACTGAGCGTTCGGGTAAAATGATTGTTGTTGTTGTTGTTGTTGTTGTGGTTGTGGTTGTGGTTGTTGTTGTTTGTTGTTTGTTGTTTGTTGTTTGTTGTTTGGTGATTGTTGTTTGTTGTTTGTTGTTTGTTGTTGTTTGTTGTCGTCGTCCCACCCGCGACCCGCCCCGCGACCCACCCGCGACCCACCCCGCGACCCACCCCGCGACCCACCCCGCGACCCACCCGCGACCCACCCCGCGACCCACCCCACGACCCACCCCGCGACCCACCCCGCCCACCCGCGACCCACCCGCGACCCACCCCGCGACCCGCCCGCGGCCCACCCCGCGACCCACCCGCGACCCACCCGCGACCCACCCGCGACCCACCCGCGACCACCCCGCGACCCACCCGCGACCCACCTTCGACCCAAACCACGTTCAAGGTACAAACCACCATTTTCGGCGCCTGCGGCGGGCTTTTTTTGCATTCCTTCCAGGTGGAGAGCCCGCGACCCACCCCGCGACCAACTCGCGACCAACCCGCGACCCAAACCACGTTCAGGGTACAAACCACATTTTTCGGCGCCTGCGGCGGGCATCTTTTGCATTCGTTTCAGGTGGAGAGCCCGCGGCCCACCCGCGACCACGTTCAGGGTACAAACCACATTTTTCGGCGCCTGCGGCGGGCATCTTTTGCATTCGTTCCCGGTGGAGAACCCGCGGCCCACCCGCGACCCAAACCACGTTCAGTGTACAAACCAAATTTTTCGGCGCCTGCGGCGGGCTGCTTTTGCATTCCTTCCAGGTGGAGGTGGAGAGCCCGCGACCCACCCGCGACCCAAACCACGTTCACTGAACAAACCAATGCCGCACAAGCGCGGCGGCGGATTTTTGCATGCCGTCTGAGCCCGCAACGACCTCTTCAAGCCCCGCGCATCCACACCAGCCCGTCCAGCAACTTTGCCCTGGCGAGTTGCCTTGATCAGAGAAGTCGGGGAGCATAAAGTGGAAAAAAGGATTGCGTTGCCGTTATCTTGGGAAAGGAGGGGGAGGCAGGAGGAGTAAACAGGGGACGAGGAGGACGCGGAAGAAGAGAGGATGTAAGGGGAATGTGGAGAAAGAGAAGGAGGAGGAGGAGGAGGAGGAGGAGGAGGAGGAGGAGGAGGAGGAGCAGGAGGACGAGAAGGGGGAGGAGGGAGAGGAGGGGGAGGAGGAGGACGAGTAGGGGGAGGAGGGGGAGGAGGGGGAAGAGATGATGATGGACGACAATGGGAGGACGATGATGGAGGCCGATGAGGGGGAGGACGACAATGGGAGGACGATGATGGAAGGACGAGGGGGGAGAGGGAGGACGAGGAAGAAGAGGAGGAGGAGGACGAGGTGGAGGAGGAGGAGGAGGATGACGATGACGACGAGGACGAGGACGAGGAAGAGGAGGAGGAGGAGGAGGAGGAGGAGGAGGAGGAGGAGGAGGAGGAGGAGGAGGAGGAGGAGGAGAGCGCCATCGACAGGGAAGGTGGGGGGAGGTCCGTCGGCTCGACGACGCCCGCGTCGCCCGCGCCCGCCCCCTCACTCTTATCCGCAATTGCGGGGTGCTACGTATTTGTGTGTCCCAGGCCCCCTTCAACAATTACGGTCGGACCGAGGTATGAGATCGAGGTTGGTTCGGGGAGGGTACCCTAAGGGTCTTCGCGTCGGTCGGATGTTCCTGTGCATCCTAAGGAGGGTACCCTTCGATGTTCTGTGTGTTTTGGCCAGCGGAGGGTCTCATGTTCCTGAAGGATGATTTGTCTGTCCCAGGTCCGACCGCACAAACAATGATTACCACTCTCCTCTCTCCCCTGACTCTGTCCAGAAGATCTCTGGCCCTCTCCGCGCACGGGTCTTTTTCACAGAGAGTCAATCGTTTTATTCTTATGTGTTATTTACCATCCGATTGCAGTCGGTGCTACACAATGGTGTTCCAGCTGCAGCGTGGGCCTCATTTTCGGATCGTCGCTTTGCTCCCGTCGTTCAGAATGGCGCTCTCGCCCCAGCGCGGGCCAATTTATTGGATCCGAATACTTCTTCATTGCTGTCGCCCCCCTCATCTCCTCTCCTCCGCCTTCCCCGTGTCTTCCTGCTCCTCCTATTCCTTCAACTCCAGTTCCTGCTGCTGCTGCTGCCGCTGCTGCTGGTGTTTGTCATCTTCCTCCTCCTTCATCCTCCTCCTTGTCCTCCTGCTCACCCGCCACCTCCTCCTCCTCCTGCTCCTCCTCCTCCTCCTCCGCCTCCTCCTCCGCCTCCGCCTCCGCCTCCGCCTCCTATGTGCGCAGTTCCCCGCTTCTGATTGCCCATAACACGATTGCTTTTGTTTATGTTATGTTGAAGTTCCAGGTCGGCTATGACACGCGTCCGCGGATGGAGACGACATCCGCGCCCTGAGAAGGAATGGGGATGGAGGGATCGGATGTCGGACATGGCGCGAGCGCGTCTAGCTGTTCCTCTCCTCCCCCTCTCCCCCCCTCCTCCTTCTCTCTCCTCCCTGTCTCTCGTACCCCGCCCGCCTCTTCCTCCCTTCCCGAGGAGGTCAAGAAGGAGAGGATGATGAAGATGAGGGTGATGATGATGATGATGATGATGATGATGATGATGATGATGATGATGATGATGATGATGATGATGATGATGATGATGATGATGATGATGAGATGATGTTGATGATGATGATGATGATGATGATGATGATGATGATGATGATGATGATGTGATGATGATGATGATGATGATGATGATGATGGATGCTGCTGCTGAGGAGGAGGAGGAGCCGGAGGAGGAGGAGGAGGAGGAGGAGGAGGAGGAGGGAGGACGAGGAGAAGGGGGATGTGGGAAGAGGAGGAGGAGGAGGAGGAGGAGGAGGAGGAGGAGGAGGAGGAGGAGGGAGGAGGAGGAGGAGGAGGAGGAGGAGGGGGAGGGGGAGGGAGGAGGGGGAGGAGGAGGGGAGGGGGAGTGGAGGGGGAGGGGGAGGGGGAGGAGGAGGAGGAGGAGGAGAGGAGGAGGAGGAGGAGGAGGAGGAGGAGGAGGAGGAGGAGGAGGAGGAGGAGGAGGAGGAGGAGGAGGAGGAGGAGGAGGAGGAGGAGGAGGAAGAAGAAGAAGAAGAAGAAGCAGAAGAATAATAAGACGAATAAGAAGAATAATAATAATAAGAAGAAGAATAATAATAAGAAGAAGCAGAAGAAGAAGAAGAAGAAGAATAAGAATAATAAGAAGAATAAGGAAGAAGAGAGGAGGAAGGAGGGGAGGAGGAGGAGGGGAGGAGGAGGGAGGAGAGGGGAGGGAGGGGGAGGAGGAGGAGGAGGAGGTCCCTCGCCTCGCGCGCTGCGCCCGTCAGCCGCGGGCCATCACCCCGCCCCAAAGGTACGGCCCAGACGGCTTCCTCGAGCCCATCCTCGACGCGCGCCCGCGACACGGTGCCCACGTGCAGCGGGGCTGGTACCGGGCGGAGAGCGGGCGGCTGGAGATCGAGGACATGGGGCTGGTCAGGAGGATCGCAGTGTAGTTGCTGATGCCCTTGAGGGCAGGCGTAGGCCCGTCGAGTCGGATGGGGTACATGGGCTCTCTCATCCGTGGAGTCACCGCCTACCCCGCTGCAGCAAGAGTCTCCATCCCGGTGGTGACGGGGGTGGGCCCGTAGAAGGAGGAGGCGGCGGAAGCGGAGGCGGAGGAGGAGGCCTGGGTCATTCGCGAAGAGGAGGCCCAGGTCGCTCGCGGACAGCTGGAGGTCGAAGGCCCGGGCGGGTCAGGGGCAACGCTTCCAGGGTCGATAATGACGGTTGGCAGTGGGAAGAGATTTTGCAGCATCGATCTCCCAAAACACGCTATCCTTGTGAGGCATTTCCCCCCCCCCCCCCCCACGCCATCCCCATCCCCCTGCAGGGGCCTCTTCGGTTCGCGTGCTGAGCGGGCCAGCGGTGCCACATCGCACGCTACCTTCCCAACGCCAACCGCATGGGGGGCTGGTCTCGTGGTTCTGATGCTCGTGTGTCGACGATGATCACGTGGTGGATGCGTGCGGGTGGACTTCGAGTTCTTCGTGCAATGGCATAGTAATTGGGGGGCGGGGCGACTGGCCTTCCGAGGGAGCGTCCCCATCCCCCCCGTACCGCCCCTCAGCGCGCGTCCAAAATTCTCTTTCTCTTTCTCTTTCTCTCTCTTTCTCTCTCTCTCTCTCTCTCTCTCTCTCTCTCTCTCCCATACACACACGCTCTCGACGCGGTCTGTCCATCACTCCACACGAGCCCCATCCTGCCATCCCCCGAACCCAGGGGGGGTCATTATTGAATCGCTTCGCTCATTCCGCCGGCCCATAGTGTAGCGTCGCTGGCACTTGCTTGCGTGCTCGGGGGGGCATTTGGGTGGCCTCCTGGGGCCGCTTGGGGGCCTCCTGGGGGCCTCCTGAGGGCCTGTTGGGGGCCTCTTGGGGCCTCTTAGGGGCCTCTTGGGGCCTCCTGGGGACTTCTGAGGGCCGAGGGCTCGAAATATTGTTTCGTGTTCCCCCCCTGGGGTCCCTCTTGGGGCGTTCTTGGGGCCCTCTTGGGCCGTCTTGGAGGCCTCTTGGGCCGTCTTGGAGCCCTCTTGGGCCGTCTTGGGGCCCTCTTGGGGGCCTCTTGGGCCCTCTTGGGGCGGTCTTGGGGGCCTCTTGGGCCGTCTTGGGGTGTCGTGAAGCCGAAAAGGTGGAAACGCCAAAATCTCTCCAAAACCTAAGGAAAAGCAGTGAATTTTGCCTCTTGGGGCCCTCTCGGGAGTGCTCTTGGAGGCCTCTTGGGGCGTCTGGGGGCCATCGTGGGCGTCTTGGAGCGATCTTGTGGCATCTCGGACCCCTCATGTAGCATCTTGGGGGCCTCTTGGAAGCCTCTTGGCCCTTCTTGGGGCTCTCGGGGACGTCTCGGAGCCGCGTTGGTGCGCTGCTGGAGCGCCCTGGTGACTCCTCCCGGGACTCTCTCGGGACCTTGCCGGGGTACTTTCCGCCCGGGGGCCCCCAGGGGCCGCCCCGCGCGCGCGAAGTAGAAAGATTGTAAAGCAGTCACCGGAGATCTTAGCACGCCTCTGGCCCGTTGGGCCGGCGAATTATGCCATCTGGAGTATTCAATGCGGCTGGAGATCGAGGACTTCGGGCGGGTCAGGGGCAGCGCTGGGGGTGGGAGCTTCGATGCTCGCTCTCTGGAGGTTTTGGATCGTCCCTGGGACGTCCTCGTGGCCACGGCTGCATCCGCCTCGACATGCTGGTCAGACCGCATCCCAGGAAAGGACCTGGGGCGGGGCCGGGAAGAAGGGGCAACGTTCGTGTTCTAGGGCTCGAGCTAAACGGCGCTTTGGCGACTTCGTGGTCCGTCTTCGTTTTGAACTCGTTTCGCAGCAGAGGCGGAACAGAGACAGAAGGCAGGACAACGAAAACGGAACGCAAGCGACAAGCACTGCTTGGCTCGAGCCCTGTCGCGTTCCAGGAGGCCCCATCCCTCGGGGCCCCATCTCTGGGCCGCCGACCCTCGCACGCCGGCCTTGCCGACGCGTGGCAGGCTCCGCGCCCCGTTCGGCGGCGCCCGGGCCCACGGCAGCCCAGAGGGCTGCAGTGGGGCTCCTGCCCGCTTCCTTCGACAAGACGTAAGAGTGACCTTTCGCCGGCTGGCCTTTGGTGCGGGCACAGGTGGGCCCCCAGATGGCTGAACGCGAAGCGGTAGCACCGGCTAGCGCGCTTGGATTTGGCCTCCCCGCGGCACCCCCAAGGCCGCGCACCAAAGGTCTTTCTTACCCAGGGTCACTCTTACGTGTAGCCGATTCCTGGGCGGCCGAGGGGCGGCTGGTGTCAGGAGCCTTGAGACGGGGGTCACTGCAGACGGGGGTCATCGGGGGTAGGACGAGGATGGATCCGTTCCAGAGCGTTCTGCAGCGTTCCGAGAAGGCCGCGGCGCTTATCCTCACCCGGTATTATCCTCGTCCTGGCTTCGTCTTCGGTCAATGCAAGCGGGGGTCAGCCAGAGCGCCGGATTTCGCAGGACCCTGCAAAGCCAGGGTTGCGTTGACCAGGACAAGCGCGCAGGACCCTACAGTATCTTGCAGGATCCTGCAACTCATGAGAGACCCGGGTTTGTACTGACCTGGGTCAGTGCGCCCCCGATGGTGCCGCCCGCCCGCCTCCCACTCCGATTCGGCGGCGCGCTGAGAGGGGAACGTTTCGGGTTCGAGGATCGAGGTGTTCGGGCGTCTTCGTCGGTCTTCGTCGCTTCTCCGGCAGCTGCGCCTCGCCGACAGCGTTCAAGGGACACGGGCTTTCGTATGTTTTCGTTGGTCCTCGATGGTTCTCCAGCCTCGGAAGATTGAGGACCCGGGTCGGGGCGGGGAAGAAGGGTCAACGTCAGGAGGGCAACGTTTCCGCTTCGAGGTTCGAGGTCTGAGGTTTTCGGACGTTCTCGTTGGTTCATAGTTCTCATTGGTTCTTGGCCTCGGGGTGCTCTCCAGCAGCCTCGCCTCGCCGAGAGAGCGTTCCGGGGGTGCCCGAAGCGTGCCGGGCGCCCATCGGAGAGCCGAGCCATGACCCGAAAGCCATGGGGCAACGTGAGGGGGGGATGGGGGCCGAAAGTTCTCCGCCAGCACGAACATCTAGGACCAGCTTCCCCGGACGGAGGTGGGCGCTTGTGCTCGGGCTTCGGTGCCCATTTCCGCGCCTCCAACCCCCGAGTCGTGACCAAAAACACGACGGGAGGTTTTCGGCCATCTTCGGCCTACAGTGGAGACCCATGCCAAGGAACACCCTGCTTGCCTCCAGGGTGCCCTCGGTTTCTTGAGATTCGATGGTCTTGCTGTGGAAAGCGTGACGCCCCCACCAGAAATCAACGGACGTCCTGGGGTCTCAGGGTTGGGTCCCCTGTGGGAGGTTCCTCGCGGAAGGGCCCCATACTGTATGGGGCCCGTGTTCGCGCCTCCAGCACGAACGCAGCCGGCACGCGCCCGCCGTCGCCCTTCGGGGGCCCAGCCCGGTGCGAAGGGGCCAGGGTCGGCGGCCCAGGACGTGGCCGTGAGGCGCTTCCACCTCATCTGCAACGTCGTCGACCTGCTCAAGAAGACCGGGCGCATCCAGACGGACATCTGCAGGGGCAGCGATAGGGGGGGGGGATTAGGCACAGGGGGGGATGCACCGACCCCCAGTCGGCCATGGATCGCCGATAGGGACCCGATAGCCCCCACCCGCCCAGGAAGGTGCGGATCCACTATCGGGGGCCCATCGCCGATCTATCGGCGATGTATCGCCGATTCCAGGTCGATGCATCCCCCCCTATGAAAGGGCCTCCCTATCGTTGGCCTTCACATCTGGGGTGGGAGCGCGCAGGTGTGATCCCAGCGCGCCAGAGGGAGGCCCAACGGAAGGCCACCTGAGACATGATCACCGCCTCCTCCTCCCCCTCCTCTGCCTCCTCCTCCTCCGCCTCCGCGTCCACCACTCAGCCGCCTCTGGCCCCCTGGGACCCAAACGGGGCACGAAAGGTGCACATTTCTTCCCCCCTCTCCACTTGTCGCCTCCCAGTAAATCACGCCCGAGGGACCCAAAAGGGGCACGAAAGGTGCACATTTCTTCCCCCCTCCCTACTTGTCGCCTCCCAGTAAATCACGCCCGAGGCGAGGCGAGCGAGAGGGCGCCTCGGGCGGCCCGGGGCGTGGCCTGGAGCGTCTTCCGGCCACTGTGCACCTCCAGCACTCGCGCGCAAGAGCTTCACGTTCTGAGGAGGCAGGGAGGGAGACAGGAGGGAGGAGGAGGAGGTGGAAGAAGGGCGGGAGGTAGGGGGAGGAGGAGGAGGAGGAGGAGGAGGAGGAGGAGGAGGAGGAGGAGGAGGAGGAGGAGGAGGGGGAGGAGGAGGAGGGAAGGGGGGCGGGAGAGGATGAGGGAAGGGTGAAGAGCACAGGGGCCAAGACGAGGGAAGAGGACGACTGGCCCGCGCCTCCCGCCCCTCCGTCGGTTCCTGATAAGTCCCCCCGGTTGCTCGATCCTTGTCTTGGCATCGATCGGACGTGTGCATTTTTCCTTCGGCGAGGACCATCGAGGAGCATTCTTGATCATTTGGCGAAAGAACCACGCACGAAGCCGACAAAAAACACAGGCAATGGACGCCCGAGCGATGGCCAGTTGTCAGTTTCTTCTTGCGCCCGCGGACCAACAAAGGAACGCCTGCAGGTGGTGGCCCCTGCCGGGCGCGGCCCTGCCGGGCTGCAGAGGGCGCCATGTCGGGGGCAACGTCAGCAGGGCTCATTCCGACTCCCCCGATTCGATCCGATTCGAGTCCGATGACCTCCGATTCCGATCCGATCTGACTTCGGATTCCGATTAGGCTTCCTGTTTTTCAGTGGAGGCTTAGCAGCCTGCCGATTTCCGCCGATTCGAGCTGCGCCCCTCTGTCCGTGGTTCATTGGCTGGGGTCCCGGGGGATGGGGTCCCAAGGATAAGGAAGGCATACGCAGGTGGTTTTGTACCGTTTGAGGCCCCTCGTCCGCAGGACCCCATCCCTCAGGATCCCATCTTCGAGCCACGGGCTCCTGGCCGCCTGCGGCCTGTCGAGCTCGGTCGGGCTTCCGCTGCGCTGCCGCCGCGGACGGCCTCTTCTCGGCTGTGGCAGCGGGGCGGCGGGTCGCCGAGGCGTGTGTTCCCGGCGTGCCTCCTCGCGCCCCGCGTGCACGCGGGCCTTCCGAGGCGCCCTCGTCCTGCAGTAGGTTCGCGTCCTGTCGACGCGGTGGCGATCCCGCCAGGGGCCAGCCACGTGCAGAGGGGGGTAGGGGGAGGGGGGAAGGCTTCCTAGAAGCCCCCTCTCTGCTTCTTAGGAGGCACGGGCCTTGTCTGTAGGTGTAGGGCTGGCGCCTTCTAAGAAGCAGCCCCAGCCAGCTGGTGAGCCGGGCGCACCAGCTCACGGGGGGCGCGGCAGGGGGGGCTCGGCAATAGACCTCGCGCTGGCCCCGGAGATGCGTGCGCACCACGGCGACGCCGCTCAGCAGCTCCACGAAGATGATTGCGCATCGCGGGGCGCGAGGGCGCGAAGTTCAGTGTTCTGGATCGAACCTCGATCGCCTGCCTTCTGGCCCGCGGGCCGCGCCTCCTCCCAGGCTTCCCCCGAGCCAGCCGCGGCCCGCCGGGGCCCCACCGGGGCCCGACGCCCTGAGCTCTCCCGGGCTCGTCGGCGGCGGTCCGCTTCCCCGCCGTCGCGGCGGGCAACCGGCGCGCTGCCAGCGGCGCTGGTGGGCAGAGATCGGCGTGGCAGCGGCTCGCGCGCCGGCAGAGACGACGGCCAGCGCGGGCAGGGAGCACGCGAAGGACGATATGCACTGAGAGGCCTTTTGACACACACACACATGTGTGTGTATATGTATATGTGTATGTATATATATATATATATATATATATGTGTGTGCTCATTCATTCTCCCTGGGTGCGTGGCTGAAGTGGGGATTCGTGGTGGGAATTATGTTTGTTGCTGTTGCTGTTGCTGTTGTTATTGGTGTGTTGTTGCTGTCGCTGTCGCTGTTGCTGTTGCTGTTGTCGTTGTCGTTGTCGTTGTCGTTGTCGTTGTTGATGTTGTTGTTGTTGTTGTTGTTGTTGTTGTTGTTGTTGTTGTTGTTGTTGTTGTTGTTGTTGTTGTTGTTGTTGTTGTTGTTGTTGTTGTTGTTGTTGTTGTTGTTGTTGTGTTGTGTTGTTGTTGTTGTGGTGTTGTTGATTGTTGTTGTTGTTGTTGTTGTTGTGTTGTTGTTGGTGTGGTGGTGGGTTGTTGTTGTTGTTGTTGTTGTTGGTTTGTTGTGTTGAACATTATTATTCTAAAGAATAATTATTGTTGGGCCCCCTGGTGCACGCCCCCCCTGCGCCGCCTAGGCCGCAGCTACATTTTCATCATTTTCGTGAGGAAGCCTCAGGTAAAACGATGTGATCCAGATCCGGTTGTTTTGTTGTAATCCGTTTTCCCTTGCAAAAAACACTATAAAATGACATTTCTTGTTCTAATATAATCAAATTTCAAGAATCCCTTGCAAAAAATAAGGTAAAGTGGACATTCGCGCGCGCAAGACGAAATCCTTCCAAAAGCTTAGTGTTCGGAGCGATTTTAACATAAAAACATCAAAAAACCAATGGTTTTTCAACAAAAAAATGTCAAAATCTCATCCCGCGCGCTCTTGCGGATTCGTAGGAAACCCAACACTTTTTAAACATTTCTGTCAAACGGGCTTTTGCGAGCAACTTTTTCGAACTTCTGCGACAACGGTTGCGCACCTGCCAGGGCCATCATCCCTGTCAAATAATACCATGCGGGACACATTCGTTTTTTCTTCGCGCGCGCACGCCGTCGTCGTCGGCCGCGGGGCCCTGAATAGTAGCCACGGTCGTCCGCATGCCACGAAGTGAAGTGTCCGAACGTCATAGGGCGGGAAGCTGGGTGTGGGTGGTGGCGAAGAGTCGTTTGGAAATTTGGTAGAGCTTGAACCGGCCCCCCCACAAAGTGGGGGTATTGCCCGCCTCCTATGAAAACCCTGGCACTGGTGAGAACGGAGTGTCCCCACGTGCTAGTAATTGTTGTTGTTGTTGTTGTTGTTGTTTGGTTGTTTGTTGTTGTTGTTGTTGTTATGTGTTGCTGTGTTGCTGCTGCGCTGCGTTCTGCTGCTGCTGCTGCTGCTGTTGTTGTTGTTGTTGTTGAATATTATTCCTTCTAAAGAATTATTATTGTTGGGACCCCTGGTGCGCGACCTCTGCGCCGCGCCTAGGCCGCAGCTACATTTTCATCATTTTCGCGAAAGCTTCAGAAAAGTGGATTAGTCCGGATCCGGTTGTTTTGTTCCCCCCCGCTTTCCCTTGCAAAAAACAATAGAAAATGAAAATTCTTGTTCTTACTTGATCAAATTGCAAGAATCCCTTGCAAAAAATAAGGTAAAGTGGACATTCGTGCGCGCAAGACGAAATCCTTCCAAAACCTTAGGTTTCGTAGCGATTTTAACATAAAAACATCAAAAACCCAATGGTTTTTTAAGAAAAAATTGTCAAAATGTCCTTCCGCGCGCGCTGTCCGAATCCCACGAAACCAATGGTTTTTCAACATTTATGTTACATGAGCTCGCGCGAGCTACTTTTTCTTGTTCTAACATAATCAAATTTCAATAATCCCTTGCAAAAAATAAGGTAAAGTGGACATTCGCGCGCGCAAGACGAAATCCTTCCAGAACCTTAGGTTTCGTAACGATTTCAACATAAAAACATAAAAAACCCAATGGTTTTTCAAAAAAAAATGTCCAAATTTCATCCCGCGCGCGCTGTCCGACTCCCACAAAACCAATGGTTTTTCAACATTTATGTTACATGAGCTCGCGCGAGCTACTTTTTCTTGTTCTAACATAATCAAATTTCAATACTCCCTTGCAAAAAAAAAGTAAAGTGGACATTCGCGCGCGCAAGACCAACAAAAAACACGACGATCTCAGGAACTTGCCCCAAAAATGTGACCAACTCCGCTCTCTCTGTCTCTCTCTCTGTCTGCTCTCTGTCTCTCTCTCTGTCTGTCTGTGTCATGTATTGTATGTCACAATTGCAGGATGCTGGGCACACGCGCGCCCCGAATAAGTGACCAAGTTCTGTGGGTGTGTACCCCACGCCAGTGTAGTAGCCACGGTCGTCCGCACGCCACGAAGTGAAGTGTCCCAACGTCATAGGGCGGGAAGCTGGGTTTGGGTGGTCGCGAAGAGTCGTTTGGATATTTGGTAGAGCTTGAACTGCCCCCCCACGAAGTGGGGGTATTGTCTCGCGTCGCATGAAAACCCTGGCACTGGTGAGAACACTGAGCGTTCGGGTAAAATGATTGTTGTTGTTGTTGTTGTTGTTGTGTTGTTGTTGTTGTTGTTGCTGTTGCTGTTGATGTTGCTGCTGCTGCTGTTGTTGTTGTTGCTGTTGGGGGTGGTGGTGGTGCTGTTGGTGTTGTGGTTTGTTTGTTTGTTTGTTTGTTTGTTTGTTTGTTTGTTTGTTGTCGTCGTCCCACCCGCGACCCACCCCGCGACCCACCCCGCGACCCACCCGCGACCCACCCCGCGACCCACCCCGCGACCCACCCCGCGACCCACCACGCGGCCCACCCTGCGACCCACTGGGCGACCCACCCGCGACCCACCCCGCGACCCACCCGCGACCCACCCGCGACCCACCCGCCACCCACCCCGCGAGCCACCCGCGATCCACCCCGCGACCCACCGTCAAGGGAGGAAAAACCACCCGGACCCGACAATTGACGTTTACTAAACGGCCTTGGGCGTTTGCTGAACAGCCCTGCCCTGTTGATTATTATGGGGTGGATTAATTTCTGTTCGCAGTGAGTTGTCCACTCCACTGCTCGCGCAAACATGCCACCCACCCACCCACCCGCAGCATGGTTTGCAAACCTCATGCGGAGGCGATTGCGAAGAGTGCTTGGCGCTGGCTGGTGCATCTCTGCGGCCGCGCCGGCCCGCGCATGCGCGCGCGCAGCGGCCAGGTAGTTTGGCGCGACCGACGAGGCCGCGGTGGTGTTGATCGCTCGGCACATCCCAGCGGGCACTTGGGTGCGAGTCGGCGGCTTGGGCGGGCGCGGTATCATGGCAACGTCGACACTTGTAGACACGACGACGATGATAGTGGCGATGTTGGTGACGACAAGTGTAGACACGATGATGATGATGATGATGACGATGATGATGATGATGGTGATGATGGTGATGATGATGATGATGACGATGATGATGATGATGATGATGATAGTGGCGATGACGGCGCCGATGCCGATCACGCCGGCGACGTTGACAGCGGAATTCGAAACGCGCGCGCGGCAGACGCGCGGGAATGGCTCGCATGGTATCATTTGACACGGATCACGCCACCACAGCACGCGCGCAAGGGCCTTCGAACGATTTTGGCATTCGCGCGCGAAGTTCGCTTGGTAGTATATTGTGAACATGTTGAAAAGTTCATGGTTTTCTTAAGAGTTCGCAAGAGCGCGCGCGCACGCTTTTGTTGAACATCAGTGTTGCGAAACCTACGCTTTTGTTGAACATCAGTGTTTTGAAACCCTGTGTTTTTATATGTTTTTGATTGACACTCGATTTTGAAATCATTCCGAAACCGAAGGTTTTCGAATGATTTCGGCACGCGCGCGCGACGACGCGCGAATGTGCACTTCGTCTTGTTCGTGCAAGGGGTTCTCGCGACGGCACGCTCGCAAGGGCGTTCGAAAGATTTCGACATGCGCGCGCGAAGCCTGTTTGGTAGTACTGTTTGGTGGTTTTTCCTTGAAAATGTTGAAAAACCTATAGGTTTCCCAAGAGTTCGCAAGAGCGCGCGCGCGCGCTTTTGATGAACACCCGTGTTGCGAAACCTTTTTGTTATGTATGTGTATATATATATATATATGTATTTTTGGACACTCGATTTTGAAATCCTTCCGAAGCCGAAGGTGTTTGAAGGATTTCGGCACGCGCGCGCGACGACGCGCGCGTGTGCACGACGGCGCGCGCGCAAGGGCGTCGGACAGATTTCGACATGCGCGCGCGAAGCCTGTTTGGTAGTACGGTTTGATGGTATTTCCTTGAACATGTTGGAAAACCTATAGGTTTCCCAAGAGTTCGCAAGAGCGCGCGCACGCTTTTGTTGAACATCCGTGTTGCGAAACTTTTATATATATATACACACATATATCTATACATATATATGGACACTCGATTTTGAAATCTTTCCGAAGCCGAAGGTGTTTGAAGGATTTCGGCATGCGCGCGCGACGACGCGCGCGTGTGCAATTCGTTTTTTTTGTTTCACGGAATTCGTGGAAACTTATGATGTTTGATATTGAGTGTGCGCCCATAGTTTTTTTTTGCAAGGGGGCCGAGGAGGGGTCGATACTGGCCCGGCTGGGATAGTATGAGTTCACATGGGTAGACATTGGGTCAGAATCAAATGTGTTTTACATCAGCTCCCAGCGAGTGGATACGTCCAGGGGGGAGGGTGGTTGATCCTTTTTGGGGAGGAAAATAATTTTTTCTACCCTCTACACCCGCGACCCAACAGCGACCCACCCGCGATCCACCCGCGAATCACCCGCGATCCACCCGTGACCCACCCGCGATCTACTCACATTGGTTTAACGAAAAAATCGGCGCCTGCGGTGGGCTTGTTATATAGTGTGTGAAACTTTGGAGCCTGCGGCGGGTTTCTTCAGAGTCTCGCAAGCTGCCGACGCTTCACCGCCCCCTCACTTTTATCCGCATCTGCGGAGTGATACGTGTATATAGGACCATGGGTTGAGAAGCAGCAGCAGCAGCAGCAGCAGCAGCAGCAGCAGCAGCAGCAGCAGTAGCAGCACGAAGGTCATCCTTAGGGGCGCCAAAAGAATCGCGTTTCGCGCATCGCGGCTTGGGTCGGAGAGGCGCCTTTCTCCAGGGCGGCGGGGCGCAATGTTCGAAGTTGGGCCACCTAGTAACAGCAAGAAGGCGCGAAGATCTTGTCCGCCCGCCGCGGCGTCCTCGGCGGGGCGCGCAGGCGCCGACGGCTGGGGGACGCGCGGGGGCCTCTAGTGCCGTCGCAGGGCATGGTCGTAGTAGCATGCAGAGATGACCAGACTGCATGCTGCTTCGCCCTAGTCTGCTTGTTGATGCACCAGGGGCTGCCCGTTGTCGCTGCAGTCAAGACGCCGAAACATGGACCAGTTTGGGTTCAGAGGGGGGTTCTGGTATAGGGGCTCCTGAGATCTAGGTAAGGGAATTGTTTCTTGGCCGAAGTTTGCCATGGCGTGGGAAAAAACTCCATTCCGCGCTCAGCGTTCCTTATGATACTAAAGTGGCCGTGTGGCATTAGTTTCGCCCAGGCCAGTTACTGTTCTCCCCACTGCACGCGTCACGATCGCCGTCCGATCGGAATTCATCGGTCACCCCGGGTGCGCGAAGATAATCGCGCTTCGCGGCCTGGGCCAGAGCGGTTGCCCTTTTCCCAAAGAACCTCGCGGGTGGCGCGGGGGCGCGAAGGTAATCGCGCATCGCGGGGCGCGTGGCGCGAAGTTAGGTGACCGAGGAGTTCGCGCAGCGGTTGACAGCTACAGGGAGGGCACCCCGGCTCGCGGCGCCGCCGCGCGCGCGCGCCCGCCGCAGGGGCGGTGGACCAACGACCCGGAGGCCGGAGGGCGCCAGCAAGGGTGCCTGCGCCTCGGTCGGTTCGGCTGCGGCGCAGTCGGTCGCCTTCGGTCGGCTCGGTTCGGTCGGCTGCATTCGGTCGGTTCGGTCGGTTGCGTTCGGTCGCGTTTGGTCGGCTCGATTCGGTCGGTTGCATTCGGTCGGTTCGGTCGGTTGCATTCGGTCGCGTTCGGTCGGCTCGGTTCGGTCGGTTGCATTCGGTCGGTTCGGTTGGGCGATGCATCGCCGATGCCAGCTCGACGTTTCCCCCCTGTGCCCAGCCCCAGCTCACTTCCCCGAAAGGCTGCCCACAAGGGTGCGTTCGGCCGGTTCGGTGCAGTCTGTTCGGGTCGGCGACGTTTCGCCGGTGCCAGCTCGACGTTTTCCCCTTATGCCTTGCCCCAGCCAGCTTCCCCGCAAAGGATGCCCACAGGGGTGTTCGCGCGTCAGTCAGTTCGGCTGCATTGCAGTCGGGCAAGGGGCAGCCATCTCAAGTCGACACCTGTGAGATTCCAGCCCGCGCGGGGTGACCCCATCGGCTTATTAGCAGGCCGACGCCTTAACTGCTTGGCCAAAGTGTCACTTCTTTCAGGTTGCGTCGGTCCCGCCGATTGCGTTCGGTCGGTTCGGTTGTGCTGTCTATTGTGTCGTTGCTGAGTCGTTGCATCTTTCTATGTTGTTTGCGGCCTGTCGACTTCGGTCGGCCTCGGTTTCGCTGCCGATTCCATCGGTTGTCGGTTCTGTTGTCGCTGTGGACGGCCTTGGCCAACTCTGCACCACTGGTCCTGGCTGGGGTGATCCTCGGGCCAGGGTCTCAGAATAGGGGGCGGCAAAGAGGGGGGTGATGACTAGGGGGGGGGATATCATGGGGTGGGCAATGATATTTCCCCAGATTTCCTGGCGCCTCTTCTTATTTCATTACGTCCCTGGCCCCCCCGCTGGGCCGCGCACATGCCGCCGTTCATGATTTGCACCCCCCCCTCTTGGACACCCCCCTCTTGGCAGCTCCCGACAGAAGAAGAGCGTACACTCGTATACCGACACCTCCGTCGCCACGGCCGGACTCGCCTCGAGATCCTGGCCAGGAAGCACCTGGGATAGGCCAGGGGCGTGGCGGCATCGGTATTTTCATGTTTCCCAAAGTTGGAGATGCACTGCCGATACAGTCGGGGCCCTGAAGAAGGAACCCTTTTCGTTGGGGAGGGGCTCCGCGTTCCTTGAGCGTTTCACAGCTTGCCTCAGGCTCTCCTTAGGTTTTTCGTCAGGAAATCGAAGGTTAACTTATGGAAAAAAAGGGGCCTCGTTCCTTGTTTTGGGTTCCTTAGGTCAAGGCCCCGACTGTCTGTTCATGTTTCCCAGAGTTGGAAGTGCACTGCCGGTACTGCCCAGGCATGCCTCCCGGCCAGGCCAGGCCAGGATCGGCGGCGCGCCGAGGGTCGGGAGCGAGAGGGGGCGAGCCTTCGCAGAGGGCGCCGGGGCTTCCAGGAGCTTTCCAGATTCTTCAGGAGGGGAAAAAAACACAGACACAATGAATCATCGATTTCCCAGAAAATGTGGGAAAATATGGGAAGTGGGGGGGAAGACAGAAGCCCAGAAAGTATAGGAAAATATGGGGGATCTTTTTATTTGTGTGTATTTATTTGTGTGCCCCAGGGCCCCTTCAATTCTGGGGAAGTCCTCGGTGGCTTTGGAAAAGGTTAGGAACATGCCTCGGAAGGCCACAGGACGTTTGAGCCTCCCGAACAAGCCTGCCCCTTTCTGCTTTCGCCCTGGACAGGCTGCCGATATACACCACTGATCCTGGCCACATGCCCCCCTTAGCCAAGCGAGGGGGGTATGGTTGCGCCGATCCTGGGCCCAGGATGGGCATGGCCAGGAGCGGTGCAGACGCGTGGTCCCTGACATCCGCCGATCTGTTTTTTGCTGTGCGAGGCCCCAGAGGTCCCGACCCGTCCCCGAATTCAGTTTTCTGCCCTGGATCCGTTGTTAATGTTCAAGGGGACGGCGCGAGGGCGCGACGATAGAAGAGCTTCGCGTGTTGCGGCCTGGGCCAGAGCGGCTGCCCTTTTCCAAGGGAGCGGCGCGAGGGCGCGAAGATAATCGCGCGTCACGCCTCGCGGAACGCGATTCGCGAAGCTAGTGGACCTGGCGCACATAGTACAATCGAAATTGATGACAAGGGGGGGGGTAATCTTCCCAAGAGGGTGCCCTTGCATTCTTGCCACGACGGTCTATCTTTAGCCAGTTGCGATGGCCAGCCCCGCTCGAAGAGCTTCGAAATGCGTCTGGGCTTGTCTCCTTATCGCGCATCCTTGCCATGCCAGTTTTGATTCAGAATGGTCGGAGATATGCGAGGCGCCGACGTGAGGTCGAGCCCTCTCTCCATGACAGATTAGCCGACCCCCTTGGGGCCAGCACCACAAGTCACTCCTGCCATTGGTCAATCTTACGTGTAGTCGTCTTCTCCAAGTGAGCGGCGCGAGGGCGCGAAGATCATCGCGCATCGCCAGGCGCGATGCGCGAGGCTAGGTGGCCCAGAGAGCATCAGCCAGACAAGTCGGGCTTGCACCGTCATGCCCTGCTAGACTCTGGGCGCGCTTCGGCGCTGCGACTGCCGCCGCCACCCTCTCGTCAGGGCCACCGACTACAGTCAACCATGATAGTAAGGATGGGCAACCTTCCCAAGGGTACCTTTGCATCCTTGCCTCCTCGGTCCATCCTTGGCCACTTTCGTTGGCCGCGCCCCGCTCGAAGAGCTTCGACATGGGCTTCAAGGCCCTTGCATTCTTATCTTGCATCCTTACTGGACTGGTTGACTGTAGGAGTCAGAGTCGGGAGAGGAGGAGAGATGGTGGCGAGTGCTGGCTTGCAGGGACTACAGCAGTTGCACTACAGTCAGCCCGCATAGTAAGGATGCGCAACCTTCCCAAGGGTACCCTTGCATCCTTGCCCCTTCGGCCCATCCTTAGCGACTTTCACTGGCCAACCTCGTTCGAAAAACGTCAACTTGGCCCTCCAAGGCCCTTGCATCCTTACCGCGCATCCTTGTGATACGATTTGACTGTAAATCGCGGACCGGCGCGTGCGAGAAGCTGGCAGTGGGGGCGAGGAAGAGGTGGCGGCGCTCGTGCTTCGCGAGCGTGTGGCCCATCCGTGGATATCGGGGATGCTGTCATAGCAGTGCGAGAAAGAGATGATGATGAGGAGGAGGAGGAGGAGGAGGAGGAGGAGGAGGAGGAGGAGGAGGAGGGGGGGAGGGGGGGGGAAGGGGGAGGGGGAGGGGGAGGGAGGGAGGAGGGTGAGGGAGGAGGAGGGGGAGGGGAAGGGGGGAGGGGAGGAAGGGGAAGAGGAGGAGGCGGATGACAGAGAGGATGTGCACGAGACCAGCCCGGGTGACCAAACACCGTCGGAGATCTGGGCGGCCGGCGCCCTCCCGCGAGGTCTTCCCCGACGACCTCCTGCGAGAGCAGGCGCGCGCGGCCCGCGGCGGGCACGCAGCCGCGCGGCGGGCGCCCGGGGTCGAGCGCCGCCCCGGCCAAGGGCTTTCGGACGTCATCGTGCGCTCTCGGCGGGTTGGGTCTCGGCGCTCTCTCGTCCTCCCTCTCTCCTCCTCCTCCCTCCTCCCCCCCTCCTCCTCCCCCTCCTCGCCCCTCCTCCGCCCCCTCCCTCCTCCTCCTCCTCCTCCCCCTCCTCCTCCTCCTCCTCCTCCTCTTCCTCCTCCTCCTCCTCTCCTCTTCCTCCTCCTCCTCCTCCTCCTCCTCCTCAGGGCCATCGTGCGCTCTCGGCGGTTTTTCAGTTGCTTCATCCACGCGCAGAAGGCAGAAGGGGGAGGGGTGAAGGCTTCTTAGAGGCACGCCTGTTTCTGAGGAGAGGCGGGCCTTGTCTGTGGATGCAGGGCTGGCGCCTGCTAAGAAGCGGCCGCCTCAATGCCCGCCCCTGCGCGCTCCGTGCGCTGGGGAGGGGAGTCCAGCGCCCATCGAAGAACTCCGCGCCGTCCTCCAACATGCTATGTTTATGTAGTTGTTGTCTTCCTCTAGTGATGTTTTCTGGCAGCTGCGCCTCGCCGATAGCGTTCTGCTGGTGCCCAGATCGTCCCGAACGGCCGCCGAGTAATGGCCTTAAAGCCGCTCGGATCAGAGGCGCCGACGGCAGACTGCTCAGGAGGAAAACGCATGGGCCCCATTCGCCCAGATCCCAGATAGCCCCCTCCGCCCATGAACGTGCAGTGTCGCTACCTTGAGCCCAACGCCAATCTATCGGCGTTGCATCGCGGAGTCAAGCTCGATGTTCTCCACCTCCCCACCTCTCCTCTCCCCTAGCCTCCCCCGGCATGTTCGCCTTGGAGGGGGTCTTGGAGCCAATGTTGTGAGGATCTCGCATGCTCAGCGGGATTCCTCTGCTTCGCCCGGCTGGGTGTTCGGGCGCTGTTTCCTCGCGCGCCAGGGGTACGGACAACACGAGTCCAAAAGACATCTCGTTCAAGTTCCCAGAGCAGTGCTTACACTCAGGGTTCTTACTTTCACCGAGCGCGTTCCACTACTCGCAAAGTGCCCACTCGCAGACGTCCGAAAAACACATGTCCGCTGTGATGTAATTGATCGTAGATCCTCCGCGGGGGATCCAGCCCGTTTGAGAGTAGGTACTTTGCGAGTAGTGGAACGCGCTCCTCCTAGGGGGGAGGAGGCCGCTCCCCCCAGGAGGAGGGGGATGAGGAGGAGGAGGGGGAGGAGGAGGAGGAGGAGGAGGAGGAGGAGGAGGAGGAGGAGGAGGAGGAGGAGGAGGCTTTGGCTTGCGCCCGCCCGTGGCCGCCTCGTGGGCGCCTCGCGCGCTGGGGAGCTCCGTCGAGGCTTCGCCTCGTGGGCACCTCGCTCGCCTGGGCAGGTCGTCTCGCCTGGTGGCCGCCCGTGGGCGCCTTGCTTCGGTGGAGCTCCCTATGGGGCCACGATCCTCGTGAGGGGTGTGCTGAAATGGGCGGGGGGGCGCATGCAAACCCTGCCGCTGGGGCCTTCGGTGGAGCTCCACATGGGGCCACGATCCTCGTGAGAGGTGTGCCGAAATGGGGGGGGGGCATGCATGGGGCCATGGGCGCCTCGCGCGCTGGGCAGGTCCGCCGACGTCTCGCCGGGTGCCCGCCCGTCGGGGCCGCGAAGACGGCCCAAGAGAGCGTCGAGGCGCCTGGAGAGCGCCCCCAGACCTTCGTGGCTACAGTCTCACTGGGGGGGCGAACAATGACATAAACATAAAACCTCGGACGTCCGGGCGGAGTTCTCGGATCCGCGCTGGGCCCCCCCCCGGCGACCCCTCCGGCGCCGCCCCTGGCGCGCTCCGCGCGCCAAGGAGGGGGTCCAGCGCCGATCCGAGAAATCCGCGCGGACCTCCGAGGTTTTATGTTTATGTCATTGTCGGGCCGCGGGAATCAAGAACATGCTTGCGGATGCGGAGGTCAGGGTCTTCCATGGAAGAAAAAGAACGCCCCCAGATCTTCAAGATGGCTTGAAGACAGCCAAGAAGGCCCCCAGGAGGCTTCAAGGGGGCCCCAAGAGCACCCCCAAGAAAGCCCTAACAGTCCCAAATCAGTCGTAGAGGGTGCCACCTGAACCTCGACTCTCCCTATGCATTTCTTGTTGTATCATGTCTTTGTATCCGCCACAGTAAGAAATCCTCTTGTATTCCGAAAAAAAGAAATCCTTTTCCACGAGAGGGATCCTTTCGTATTCCGCCACAAAATGAATTCTTTTGTCTTCCGCCACACTAGGATTCCTTTTGTATTCCGCCACAAATGACATCTTACCAAATGACTCAAAACCTGTGGTTTCTCAGTTGTCTGCTATTTTGAATTAAACATATAGTTTGTTCATTGCCAGGCTCAGCTTTTCAGCTCATTTTAATGTAAAACTTTATTGTTTTGCGATGTGCCAGCTCAGCTTTCCCAGCTTAGTTTTGAAATATTATATAAAAGCTGGGGGAGCTGAGCTGGCACAGCGGAAAATACTGTTTTAATTGGAAGAACTGATAAACTCAGCTTGGCAATGAAAACAACTAGTTTTAACTAGAAGTAGCTAAAAGCAGAGAGCACATGTCTTCCATTCATTGGATTGAATTCCATGTGGGTTCTTCTTGTGGCAGAAGGAATGCAATCATGTTCCTTGTGTGACAGACTACAAAGGGATTCCTTGTGTGGCAGACTATATTCCTTTTGTGGCGGACTACAAAAGGGTGCCCTTTGTGGCAGAATACAATAGGATTTCTTTCGCCGAAGAATGCAACGGGATTCCGTTTGTGGCGGAATACACAAGGATTTCTTTTGAGGCGGAGTACAGGAATATTCTTGTTGCGGCAGAATGCAAAGTTTTTTATAATACAAGAGGATTTCTCATAATGGAGAACGGAGGAAGCCCCCAAAGTTGAAAATATGTTAGAAGGAGTTGTGGTTTTAGATTTCCTCGTCTTCCTATGTTTGATCGCCCTCCTTTCTCGTCCTCGCGTCTCTCACTTGCCAGTTCTCCTACAAGCACCGCAACGCCCGCATCTACCACAGAGCCCATGAGCACCGCGAAGACGGCGGAAAAGACCCCCCAAAATCGAACATCTTCGTCTTCAAGGAGGTATGTTTATCGATGTTCCTCGTCTTGCTTCGGCAGGCAAGCGTTTTCACTGCAGAGGCGGTCTGTAATCTACCACAGGGCCTGTGAGCAGCGCGAAGACGGTGGAGCGGACCGCAAAACACGAACATCTGCATCTTCACGGGGATCTGATTCTCGATGTTCCTCGTCCTGCTTCGGCGGGCAAGCGTTTTCATTGCAGAGGCGGCCAAACACGTGGTAGCTAGCAGCGTCCTTGGGACTGTTGGCGAGCAGCCAGCCTAGGGCGAGAACGAGGAGAAGACGGACGAAACAACGAGTGATTGCGAGCAACCATCTTGAGAAGCAGTTTGGGTTCAAGCCGAACTCCATTCCTCTGGCTTGTCCCCGTCTAGACTGAGAAGAACAACCAAAGTATTTTGAGGTACTCAAGAAACAGCGCTAATATTGTCCAACATGGGTGTCAGTACGCTCTGCACCTCATCACGTAGAATACCATTCGCAGCCCAGTGCCCCTTCCACTTGTTGGCGCACCACAATTCTTCAACCAAGCTTGCATCTGTCAGGGCGGCATGCTTCATAGAGCAACGTCTGTTTCTACTAGTTGAAGTATCTACGCGCCCGAAAAAACTGTTTGAAGCGAGATTAGCACAACTCTTGAGTTGAGTTCTGAATAATGTAGAAGGTGTAGCGTCACTATGAGCAGTCGATCGGCCGTCGACAGTAAACGCCCGCATCGCCGAGCTGACGTTTCCCACCCGGCCCACGCGTGGACCTGTGTATTTGTATGAAGGCCAACTTCGCAATGATGTTTCGTTGATAACGCAATGTAAGTTGGCATGATCTGTAATCTTGGCAGTTCGTTTCCTTGCTCGTTGCGGCGGCAAGCAGCCCTCTGCCTACTGCGCGTGCCAAATAGCGAATGGCGTTCGTCGTGCGAAGTACAATATTTCCAAGTGGCAGTCGAACTGCTAACTGCTTCCATCCTTTATCATTGCTCGTGTGCGCTACACTAACATTGGCATTGCCGTCTAATGCGTCGTCTCCATCAATCACCCACGCGTCTTTGATGTCGTTCTCCTGCGGTTCAAGGCGGTCTTTCGGTTGAGGGGGCGGGGCGATTGTTTTTTTGGTACCCTTTGACATGGAGTTCATCATCATCTTCTTCATTATCCCACAGCCATTTCCGGAAAGTCAGTGCCAAATCTGTAGGTTCCGTTGGGTTCTTTATTTCTTCAGTTGTCGGCGTGTCTGAAGGTTTCTCATTCGGTTTGGGAATAACATCGCCGAGAGCCACGCAGGGTGCTAGGAATGGGATGGACAGGCCAGCCAAGGGTGCAAGGGTAGCCCCGCTGGAGCGGCCCATTCTTGCCTTATCCTTCTTCCCTTCGCCCTCACCCCCTCCTCCTTTTTCATCGTTATGTGTGTATTATTTTGCCGTTTAAAAATGAATGCGCAGGGGGGGGGCGAAAGAACCCTGAGGTTCTGTTGGCCCCCTCTGTCAAATCAATGACTTCCCCTCGGTTTTCGAAACATGTTAGCTTTCTCGCCTTTTTCAGCTTTGAACGCTCCAAGACGGCACAATAAGCATCCCATGGCGCCCCAGGATTGCCCAGGAGGCCCCCCGAATGGCCCCGGGGACGCCACAATGAGGGCCGCAAAACTGCCCACGAAACCCCCGACAAGGCCCAACCCAGGAGGCACCCAAAGGGGCCCCAAGAGAGATAATGCGAACGGACGCCGCGAGCTTTTCGTTCCAAGATGGCCCTGAGAGCTCGCCAGAGGCAACCGAGGCCTCCCCAAGATGCTCGAAGAGGCCCCTTTAAGGACCCCAGGAAGCCTCCAAGACCATTCGAAGAGTCCCTCGGGAAAGCATCGTACGAGACCAT